TATACATTATGTATATGTACGCGTCCTCTGCGTTTGCAAATTGTGCGAGTTCTGTCAGAACTTGTGCGTTTGTCTGCATGTGTGCGATTGTGCATGCATTAGTGTACGTGCAGGTTGGTCTCTGTGTGTGGTAGCTCCTAATTGGGGATCCGATACAGCTGTCTTGTCTCTCGCATTTCCCTCATTTTCCTCCCTCTCTGCCAGTTAGACTCACACAGGCAAACACAGAGGGAGGACCGAGACAGCAATGCTTCAGAAGTCTTCAAATCCATTCCCCATATGTAGTTTAACATCTTTAGGCACTATGAAGAAATAAAGTCTTGGACTGTTTCCATGATGAAAAGCCAATGCGCTGTGAGTTTAGACGATGGCTTAATGTCACTGAAACATTAGGTTTGTCTGCCAAAAGACCTTTCCATGAAGTGTAAATCATAAGCTCCCAGGCTCTCCAGTTAGGTGGCACATTCAAGAGTTGGCATTATAGCAGAAAAGTAATTTGTGTCCATGACAGAGTAAACAGCCACTAGTATAAGCAACAAACAAAGAGCTGTCTTTTATCAACTTTTTGTTTGCTTTTATTAGATAATGCTGTGTGGTGATCCATGTCAGACCAAACTCTAATCTGAGTTAAATATAGTTTCATCTCCACTTCATCCTAACCACAACGCTTCAGATCAGATAGTTCAATATTTCATTTAGGATCTTACAAGCAGAGGGTTATTTTTAACATTTAAATAATTTCTAAGACATTAAGGCCTCGAGAGCATCAGATCCAACATTATTTGCTCAAAAAGAAGAAAAAGTCATCCAACAGACTTCTTTAGTCTTGAATAAAGCACTACGAGTTATTCTGTGGTGCCATTAAGTGGTTAAGAAAAAAAAAGCCAGACTGCACAAAAGCCTGGAAAAGGAATATAGTCATTTTAATAACAATATTTTGCTGCTTTGACACGTCAATATGGAGGCTCAGCAAAAGAGCAGAAGATCTTAATGGACCAATACTGGTGCATGATATATGTAATACAGCTGGTTATTAGTCAGGCATTTTTTATTTATTTTTTTACAGTTGCTTTGGTTTAATTCTTGAAATAAAAAAATTTAAATAAAAAAATTAAAACCTTCAAAATATAAGGAGCCCTTTCAATGCTCGGCGAACATTTGCAAACATTTTAGGTTGAGCCTGATTAATTTATCTGTACACTGGTAGCTGACATTTGCCGATGTACCACAAGAAGCACTTCCTCTTCCAGCTGCTAACTCTAAGGCAGGGGTGGGGGAACTCAAGGGCCGGTGTCCTGCAGGTTTTAGATCTCACCCAGGGTCAACACACCTGAATCAAATGATTAGTTCATTACCAGGCCTCTGGAGAACTTGGAGACATGTTGAGGAGGTAATTTAGCCATTTAAATCAGCTGCGTTGGATCAAGGACACATCTAAAACCTGCAGGACACCGGCCCTTGAAGCCTGGAGTTCCCCCATCCCTGCTCTAAGGGATGGAACAGTGGATCGTTTGCCTCCATCACCTGCTGGCCCAAGCGCACGATCTGATATCCTCGTGTCGGTGTTGTTCCCATATCATCATAATAAATATTGTTCCAGGTTTAACATTGCAAGTGACCAATCACATTGTTGTGACATCATACTTTTGCGACTTTGGGGAAAAAAACACCTTAAAAAAAATCTACTTAACTTGCGAAAAACTGCCTCTGTCTGCCAATCCAGCAATTTGAATTTGTTGCATTTCAGCAGTATCCTGGTCACTTGCAATATCGAACCTGGAACAACATTTATTATGATGATGTGGGAACAACACCAACACGAGGATATCAGATCATCCGTCCCAAGCATCCTCTGTCATAAAAACCCCCTGCATATCATTGTTCACTAAATCCATGAACTTTCTGTGGTCTTTCTTTTCCTCCAGCATTGCAGCTTCACAAGCAGTCTTTGTCAAATAAATCCACTATCACTTCTCTAGCCCGCACATGTCCCATGTTCATCTCAGGCTTGCCTCTCTAACTTTATCTCCAAAGCTTTCAACCCGAGTTGTCCCTCTGATATACTCATTCCTGTGTTGATACCTTGTCCATCCCAGTGAAAGTCTTGGTGTCAGCTCTGCCTTTTCATTTTTTTTAACATTTACAACTCATCATGTTTTAAAATCTGATAAATGCAAACTGGACAAAAACCCTTTGAAAAAAAAAAGTTATAAGTGCTGACTCCAACTTCCAATATAGGGGAACTCTGATCTCTTTCCAGATGCTGGTAGATTAATTGTCACTTTCCAGGGAATTTTTAGAGGTCTTAAAAATACTATATTCCTCAGGCTCTAGTTTAATCACATTAAAAAAAAATGACTAGGTACAGGTGTTTACAATATGGTTACAGTTTGAACAATATGGCTCCCATAACAGATTTCTCTAGCAGCTGAACATTTTTAATCCATGAGTTTCACTCTGATGTAATGAGTAATATCACGGAAACTGAAATTTAAGATGGAAACTCTGAAATGTGTGGACAAAAAGATATTTGTAAGGTTTAAGTTTCATATCCATCAACCACAACAGGAAGCACTTTTTTTTTTTTTTTAAGATCATCATGAGCTACACTGCAGGTTTTAACCACAGATTAAGTTATAGATCGATATGCAGACAGACAGCTGGGAATCAAGCGTGAGAGAGAGACAGAAAGACAACAGGGGGAAGTGAAAGCAAGTGAGTGAGAGAGAGAAATTGCCCTTGTGCTACACTTTAGATTCCGCTCACGTTCTGCTCTGTCCCCAGACGTTAAAAGTGTGTCCATAGTTTTGGCGACCGGGGGAGTGATTGGAAATGTCAGCTGACAACAGCACTTTTCACTGACACTCTGAGAACTGGCACGGAGACAGAGAGAGAAAGAAGGGGGAAACAGGGGTGAGGGAGAGAGGGAAGGGCGGACAGAGAGGAAAGGATGGAAGGAGGAAATGAGGAGGATGAAAGAATGGTAAGGGTGTGTGTGATGCTGATGGGAGGTTTGGTACAATCAAAAAAAAAAAAAGCCATGGTTGGCGACCAATTATGGATGACACTGAATTGAAAGAGTGTGCATGTCTGTATATGTGCATCAGTGTAAGTACTGTCCTCCTGTTACTCACTGCAACTGTGCATGAAAGAAAGGCCTGTTTGTGTGTGCATGCGTGCATATCATGTAAGTGACTGACAGGAAGCTGCCACTCTATTTCCAAAAGCTGGAGCAAGTTAGAAACCCAACACTATGATGCTGCCCAACAGCACACGCACCCCTCCACTCCTCCATGACCTTTCCTAAATGTTACTGGCCACTTGGCACACTGACTGGGCCTCTAATGAAACTTTTATTGGCCCCCATTTTTCACCCCGTTTTTCCAGAACTGCCTCCAGGGCTGAGCTGAAATACAACAGGCTTGAACTGCAGCTGACACACAGAAAGGAAAGATACAGTGTGTGCATATGTGAACGTGTCTTTGCATTTTATTTTTTATCCGTCTTCTCTGTTTCACAAAATCTATACAATCAAATTGCTTTTGAAAATATTTAAAGCCCATAGCTTCAAGACAAGCAATCACTATAATTATTAACATACAACTCACTAATTACATTTGATATTATCGACCAACATAAGCTAGAAGGCAAATAAGAAAAGCAGGTTTAAATTGTTTACAAAATTTAAATGGAAAATGGCAGCAGTACTAATATAGAGCTTTTTACTGTAACCAACCACCAAATCTCACACACATTCATATAAGCGCATTTTTCCCTCCTATACCAAAGCACCTTATCTAACATTCACGCACACATCCTCACTGACAGATCCATCAGAGGCAACTTGGGGTTCAGTACCTCGCCCAAGGATAACCTCGAGCCAGGGAGCGAACCACCGACGTCCCTATTTGTAGATAACCCACTCTACCACCTGAGCCACATTTGGGATATGTAGGGATTAAATGCGCAGGACCAACTTTTAACACAAAGAAACAATAGAAAAGGACAAAGCTAGATACTGAAATTAACAGAGTACGGCCCTATTACCTGTCAAGTGTTTCTGCTCTTGCAGCTTAAGTTACTACATTCAGTGATTAATCAGGAAAAGTACACTACAGTATTATCACAGCCGCTGTTGTGTAGTATTATTATTCCAATTACAGATAAATTGATATTTTTTAAATGTCTATAATAATTAGCTTTTAACAAATGTGACAGGATCCCTTAAAAAGAGGAAAAGAAGCTTAGAAAAACAAAATCATGTTGAAAAGTCTCATCGTTTTTTCAAAACAGTAACTCTGTATATTTCTGAACCTAGTCTAAATCTGATTAGACACTATGATGAGAACCCTGATCTAAAATCTGATCAGGAAACAGCTGCCTAATGGGTTAAAATAAACGCTGGATCAGAGTTTGCTCAGACGTAACAAAGCTGCTAAAAATGAAAATATGCCTTCATCAGTTCCAATGGAAATCTTCTAAATCACTCTAGATACAGCCATTACTAAAATATTCAGATGTTTATCAAATATAGTTGCTGCATCAAGTCATCAAATTTTAGATTGAACTGGTAATTTGATGCAATTTAATTTCCCACAGCTCATTTATATTACTATTAACATGGAATGTGGACTGATCCACCATATTGTCATCCATGTGAGAAGTAAATCTTCGTGTGACTGAGGAGTTTCAAGCCTCCACCGATGGACAGGAGGATTATCTATCCTTGTGTGTGTAGATGACGCAGGGCAGAAAGGAGCGGATGGGCTAGGCCCAGCTGGGTTGTGTCTTTTCCTCTGAGGAAGCAGAGAGGAGGAACACAGGGGTCAAGAGCAAATTGTTGATACCCATTATAAGCTCCTGTCACACTCACGCAACACTAATTACCACAAGCTGAACTAAACTGAACTGAGCAGGAATGAACTGAACTCAGCTGTATTGAGGACGTTTAATGCATCTGCAGAGCGAAGGCAGGGACAGTAGAAGAAAATAGAACTCACGGCTGGCAGAGTTTGATGAGGTCCTGGTCGGTGGTGGCAGGCGGCAGGCCTCTGATGTACAGGTTGGTCTTACTAAGTTGCTCCACTAGCCCTCCTCCCTGACCTCCACCACCACCTCCTCCTCCTGTGTTGCCAGGGCTGGGTGGAGCCATGGGTGGAGGGGGAGGGGCATAGGACTGCTGCAAAGACAGAAAAACACACAGAAAGGCAAACGTCACATTAGGTCTTTACTGTTATGTTTGGTGTCACATGAATCACGTATTTGATAACACCACAAAAAAAGTACTTCACTGCAGATTCCGCTCCTCAGCTAAATTCCATCTACCAATCTCACATCCACATCTTTTCCTGTCCCAATTATCTCTTTATTCTAGAGGAAGTACATAAAATTAGGAAAGCAAGAGATCTGAAATTAGTCCGTGATGTTCATGGTACCCAACCACTGGGGCTTGCCCGAATAACAATAGCGTGCTGTGCTGAATCTTCACATAAGGTTCTGCACATAATGACAAGGCAGTAGGGACTTCCTTTCAGCGCTGACTGAAGTGTAAAGGTGCAGTGACTTCTACAGTGATTTAGATAAGGAAATGTTTCAAACCATTGATAATTTTCATGAAAAACAGGTTTGTTTGTGTGTGTGCACAAATCAGCAAACATTAAAAGCAGCACAAATTGCTTTCTGGTTGTTTAACCTTAGTTACAATGCAAGCAAACGTAGACCAGAAAAATGAAAGATATTCAAAACATCTCTTGTAATGCAAAGGTATCAAGCCACTGTCAGGCAAGAAAGTCTTAAAGCAAACACCGCTATAATTTGTATTAATAAATTTATGCCATGGGTGAACCGAGCAGGCTGTACAGCATTTAAATCAAGCAAGGTCCTTTTATCACCTTTAACTTACTCAAACATTTCCTATTGGCCTCCACTGTCCAATTACACAGCTCAATACTGACTAAATGGCTTAATAAGATGACCATTTCTGGCAGGGAGAAGAGCAGTGCAAGGATTAATGAGTGCCTGGCACTGAAGGCACACCCACCCCTGCCTGCCCGCTGCCTTAGGCAAACTATTAGGTTAAGTTTGGAGGAAGCAAACAAGCTTGATGGCCCATATGACAGCAGCATTCAAAACACTCCGTCTGCTGCCTTGGAGGAAAACAGCTACACCGCAAAGATGTGTAGTCCCAGTGTTGGTTCCACTGTTGGAAAGTGGATAGAACAAGTTCAAGAAGCTGCTGCAGCTTGAGATGATCACAGCGCAGCAGCACTGTGTGCCGTAATGATGAGAAAATGAGAGACAGGAAGAGAAAGGATAGAGACAGGTAAGGAAAGGAAGCGTGTACATACTTAAGGTGAATCCTGTATTTGGAGTTGTGTGTGGATATGTATGCACAATTGCAAGGAAGCTTGTGTGAGCTTGTGTGTGCGTGCACGAGTGTGAGCCGGTGTTTGTGATAATGACAGGCTGTCACCACAGAGCAATGTGGAGTCTGAGCCAGCTCTGATATTAATCCATTACCTGTATTTTCTCTCAGCTGGTGCACAAATCCTAACACACACTCAGACGCATGCTAGCAGCTCAGACAGACAGCGCTAACAGGATTCAACACATGTATGGAAGACACGCAGGAGTAAAAGGAGAAGGCGCTTATGTCATTTACAGGCCAGCACCTCACACCAGCAGCCAACAACGAGCCTGTACACTTCAGCTCAAACACAAACAAAGTGCAGAGGTGAAAGAGAGGCTATGCTGGGTAATACTTCAGTTTAACAGCTGGGACAAATAATACTCTGTATTACCAGTGTCTCTGAGATTTGCAGTTTGATGTTATTTCCTGAATAACTTCAATTTAGGGCTGCGCCATACATTTTTCACAATACCACCGACAAATTTTTACATGATAATGTCAAAAAGCTGTCATATCGTTGCTGTAGCAATGCCACACATTTACATTTACCAGTGCAATGAATGAAACAATTCCAAGCATGTCAGAGAGAAAGAATCATTTTTGGCTACTAAAACAGAAGCGATTTTAAATCACCTCCAAAGCAGCACGCTACTTTGCAAAATATGCAAGAAAATTGTTCCCGGTAATGTGGAAACAACGAGTTTCACCATTTGAGGGAAAAACACATCGAGTACAACAAGGCTACAATGGAGCAGATACTGATATGCGACGCAAAGGTTAGAAAAAAAAAAAAAAAAAAAAAGACCCAACCAAGCATTGCAAGCTGAACTCCGTATGACAGGATGGGCAAACAGTGAATGCAAATTACTGACACAGTTAAATGTTGGAAAAGCAGAACTTTACAGAGCTGGTTAAACAGCTTCCCAGGTATAAAGTATTTTTCAGTTTTACTATGTGACCATATTGACCAGGGTCCTGAAGAGTTTATTGTTCAACTAAAGCAGCTGGGCTACTTTTGCTCTAATATTTGGCTCATGCTATGTCGCCCCTGTTGAATTAGAATGCTTCTGCTACCGGTCCTCATTTCAATAGTGTCACACTTTGAATTAGGTAGTGTGTCATCAATGACAATAACTCGCAGGAAGAGGATGGAAAATGCTCTTCATTTACTTACTGCTGCTCTCATGCTCCAAACATAAAACATCGTTTATCATTTTTTCCTGCATCATCAGAGGCATCGTTAGTGCAAATTTTCTTTAAATATCGTGATATCTCCAGCCTCTACTCCTAAAGCAGTATTCACTGAGAAGAATATTGATACTGGCTCAACAACTTTGTATCAGCCACTTCAGACACAAAACAGAACTATATAATATACTAAAATGTGCTAAATATAATCAATTCCTTAATTAGTCAATCTAGTTGACAGGACATAATTGCCTTTATATTTTTGAGTCATAGACAAATGGTTTCACAATTTCAAACTTTTTAAAATTATGGTCATTTTACACCATTTTTGACAAACAAAGCTAAACAACCAATCATTAGAATCAACAATTCACGTGAAGTCTGTCATAAGTGTGCTTTCTCATGACATTTTATAAAAGTTTATTGTATAATGTGTCACTGTTAGAGGAAAGTAAAGAAGCGCATATCTTTTTTTCCCCATGTGGTGTCTGCAATCACGATATTGGAAACCTCACCGCCTCAAAGCCTGAACTGTGCAGCGGACCGGCTCGATATGAGCCTTTCAACAATGGGTTTGTTTACCAACCTCCTCGGAAAGATAACACAGACACATGGTTGATGGGGAGTGTCAGACACATAAAAGACACCGGGCTGAAATCTTATGGAGAAATATCACAGGGGTAAAAGCTATACACGCTTAAGATAACACACTGCACACCACTGCATGGTAAACACAATATAAGCTCATGAAGCAAAACCAGACTGTTAGACTATTAACAAACATGCACACAGTTAGCCTTATCTTTGTACATTCATTTCATTACACTGATCTGGAGCAGAAAGAGTCTTTCTTCACTCCACTACGCAGATGTCCAGGTATGCACAAATGTACAAAACCTCTCCCCTTCCCCTCGTGTTGCTGACACAACACACACACACAAACCTGATCAAAGGCCTTGCCCAGGGAACCTCTTTCAGCCAATTTGTGCAGCTGTCAGGGTTGGGCTGATAGTGAGCTGTGTATGTAATGTGTCAGAGACTGTGATAGGGAAATCCTTTGAAACATTAAAATCGTTCCGTCTCCCTCTCTCTCTCTAGCATTCACACTTCCACCTCTCCTCTCTCCCTCTTTCACTGTCAAGCTCAACTCCACCATCGCTCCGTCTCTTGCTCTTATCATCTCCATCCTTCCACTTTCCCATATGCTTGCTCTATATTTCTTCCTCCTCTGTGCTTCCCTCCCTCCGTGCTTTCATCCAGTTTCTCTCTTTTAAGGATTAGTCTGCAGTTGCTGTGTGTGGACTGAAGGCTGCCTCTCAGCTGGTATTGTTGACACACTTAGTACAGTGGAGCAGTTCTCACACTGGGAAAAAGGCTCAGAGGCAGCGACACAAACTGTCACACAAGGCAAGCACAGTCACTGGGATTATTGCAGATTTCATGCACAACTGAGTCCTGAAACACAAACGTGCTGCGAAATATTACTTTAGTGTGACGCACATGCATGCTGCTGACTGATGCTGGTGTACATTTCAGAGCAAAAGCAGAGGAATTACTATGAAGTAGTTACTTTTTTCAAGGCACTGGCCGTCCATCGGAAGTCCAAAACTTATGAGGCCATAAGTTTTGGACTTAATTGTATTTTCACAAGTTTTACCTGAAAGTAATAAAATGACAGATTTCTGTAATTTAAGTCCCAAAGAGTCACGGTGACAGATCTCTTTAATTTACTATAGCCGGGGTGCACATAAGTGGTCCGCAGGTGCGCATTCGCTGTCAAAATAAAAAGACGTGCACCAGATAAGAAGTTGCAACGCGTGTTTGTGTACATATAAAAGGCAGTGTTTTTGTCAGCTAGAGTGGGATTTTCACAGCATATTCTGCACCACATCTCTGTGCGTTCATTATTTGTTTGAAGCCAGCTCACCTCCTGCAACCACTTTTCCGAGAATACGCGTTTCTTTTGCGGTTCGGACTCCTGACATTTCTTTGGAGGTGGAGAAACACCAAAGTAATTGCTTAAAGGAGCTTGCTTCTTCGACATTTTTAAGAGTTCTAAACAAATGTCTGTCCTCCTCCAGAAAATCTAACGTACGCAAACACGCGTTGCAACTTCTTATCCGGTGCGCGTCTTTTATTTTGACAGCGAATGCGCACCTGCGGACCACTTATGTGCACCCCTGACTATAGCGCCATTTCTTTATCATGTAGGAAAATGGACATCAAAGTGGGCTGTATGTGGTCCACAATGGAAAATGAGTCTGACATGCCATGTGAAGGAGATCCAAGCTCTGTCACGTACCAGCTGAGATCGACCCCACTTTCAGCTCTGTTACTCTATTCCTTTCTACTGCAGACTTCAAGAATGAAGTTCTGTATCATTTACATTTCTAATACACTTTAGAGTCACATTGCTCCATATTTGCATGGTTTTATTAAACACATTTGCTTGCTTTGTGAAGATGCAGGAGTATGATTACCCTTTGTGTGCCTAACTGTCTGACAGTAGATGTGCTAGCATTGATCTTCATTTATGCTCATCATGACAATGATATTTCACACTAGTCCTTGCATGTAGCAAA